GGCAGCCAATATACAGGGCTCTCAAGGTCAAAGTTAGGACCTTTTGAGCCTGACAGGAAAACTGCAGTGGTTAAACAGATAATATTACATTTTAAGTTAACCGAATAAAATAATTCCACATAATAAATGTGAAAGAATAGAATTAGAAAATAATGATTTATTTTGGAAAATAACAAATTTTTAATTATTAATTAAAGAATGACTGTATAATGAGAATTTTTAATGGGTGGACCCACGGGCAATCCAACAGGCATTATTCACCAGTAAAAGCCCTGAGTGCAGAGCATCACTGATGAAGCATTTTTTTTTTTTTTTTTGCCAAAGAATTGAATCCGAAAAAAAAAAAAAAAAGAATTGAATCCGAACCTAATCAAGCTTTTAGCTATAGACACCAATTTACAGGAAGTAGAGGGGACCATATACAATCAGCTAACCCCACACTACAGAAAATCCTGCAGGACAAAAGAACTTTTTCTTTAACAAATAAATGCCAAAGGGAAAAAAAAAAAAAAAAGAAAAAAAAAAAGAGGAGACTTAAGAGGCATAGCAATCAAGGGCAATGAGTGAGCTTTGTTTGGAACCCAAATAAAAACAACTCTTAACAAAATTTACAACGCAGTCATGGAATAGAACTGATAATATAGGATGATGTTAAAAGAATTATTCATTTTTTTAGGCGTGATGTAAATTATCTTTGAAAGGTGCATAATAAATTATTGACAAATAATGATTTGCTACCCAGGATTTGCTTTACATGACCAAGTGGAAGCAGGATGGAAGGATGAGGTAAAACAGGACTGGCCATATGCTAATGGAAGTACAAGCTGGATGAGAGACACACAGGCCCTTATTATAACACTCTTTTTAAATTTTGCATATGTCTGCAAATATCCCTAAAAAAAGAATTTTCAGAAGTGCTTCAGATAAAAAAAATTAAAGCGCTAAAAAAGGTGAATGCAAATATGACGAAATGTTAACCCCTGTCAAGTTCTAAGCGATGGGAATATGGATGCTTACTTTTTCTTCGTGTTTGCAAATGTTCATAATAGTAAACAAAATTGTAAAGGCTCTTAAACCCAGCCAAGACCCAGAGTTAAGTCAGGTTAAAAGGATTTTGACATGTAGCTGCAGACAGACAGTTAATGCTGGCATTTACCACTAATGCCCACAGAAAATTAAAAACAAATGACAAAGTACACCAAAAAGCTACAACTTGAACTACATTACTGGGAAAAGAAAAGAGAGGGGCCGAGAGAAAAGGACTCTCGCTGACAGAACAGGGAAGCTCATGACATCAAGGATCTTCAGCTTCGAGTCAAGCCACGGCGTGATCCCACGGGAGGGAAGGGGTTTTACAATGGTTAGTCCAAGGCCCCAGGGATGATCAATAAAAGGTCTGGCTACACCTTGTGCCCTACAGCCTTCATGCCATAAGTGATGGGGTAGAACAGTTTTAAAAAAGCAGCCCAACCCCACAGAAGCTCCCAAGCTTTTATGATTTGGAAGTAGAAAACGAACCGAGACAAAGCAGGCAGCGTGACTGTTACTCAGCTGCGCCTGCGCCTGTTGCGAAAGCGCTGCTTCTCGGGAGAAGCTCTAGCTAACAGCACGACCTCACGTCCTCTCCCCCGAGGAAGGCTCTGTCCGTACCTGATGATGACACACTGGTTCTCTCTGTCAATGATCATGTTTCTGTACATATTGTCTGCAAGAGCATAGATGTGGGGTGGGTTTTCGTACTGGGCCTGGAAAAGCAAAACAAAACGAAACCAAACCATGGTCAGACAAAGCAACACATTAGATTTTTTTTTTTCTTTCTTGGCCTTGGCTTAGACCACTCTATAGTCCCAATGCTTATAATTATTGTCGTACAGGTTATGTAACACAAGATTTCATAAACTTGTCTAGGTCACGGGGAGTTACACCTAACAAAATAAAGGTGGAATCTGGAGGTGCTGTGCTGTCGGTATTTGAGTGATTCAGCCTTCAGACATGCCCCATGCCTTCAGAGGCTCCAGCCCACGCCCTTCCTCCCAGCACGCCTCTGCAGGTGACGTCCCACTGCGAAACGTGTAAAGGCCCTGGGGCGACAGGCCTCCTAAAAAACCTGGGCCTGCTTCTACTAGAATTCTAAATTCCTACACAGTTTTATTTATTTATTTTTTAGAGGCAAGTTGGAGATGGCTATGGCGGAGGAGAAAACCAAAATTTTCCATAAGAAGAGAACAAGAGGTGTGGTTCTTTAAAGAGATCAACTGGTTTGGTCAGTTTGCTTCATCTCATGAGAGGGAAAAAAATCCCGGCACACGAAGAGATTCCCCTGGGTTTTCGTTTTGTGGGGTCTATTAGCTCTGCAAAAATATAAATTCACCAACACATTCACTGTGTCGGGACAACTGCAGCCCTGCTTTCTTCCGTTTCTTGGCCCACACCTCCACCATTCGCTCAAAAGAAAAGTGCCAAAAAGAAAAGCTAAAAAGGAAAGACAAGTAGAGTCTTATGCACAGGTGCGGTATCATTTACCAACCCAGCTTCGGGCCTTATGGTACAATGGCTTACTGATAGAAAGGGGGCCTGGCCCACAAACTGCCATTCATTGCCAGCTCTGGTAGACCGGACTGAGTGATGAGAGGGGATGAAAAGAGAGCGCTTGCTGCCTGCACACTTGTTTAGAGCTGGTATTTCCAGGGTCTACGCTTTCCCTCATATTGTGAGCAGGAGGCTCCCCAGGGGAACTGCCCAGGGAGGGTCGGACGCTATTCCTGGGACTTGTTGGCCAAACAACGCCAAACAGGAACAAGAATACGTCCCTGCTGTCACCTTACAGTCAGAAGGGGATGCATGGACGAACCTCAGGATATTGTTTTAAGATGTTTTAAAAAATTCTGCTGACACACAACTGTTCAAGCCTAGATTGCTTATGCAGGATTATTTTTAACACCTCTTTGAAAACAGGGAAATCGATTATAAGAAAGAAAAGAGGAAAACAGAAGGAAATGGAGTGAAGAGAAAGCTGTGGGCCTGTAGGGAAAGGTGTGGGCAAGTCATTGACCAACAAGGCTTTAAAGCTGATTAACTAGTCATACTTGACCTTAGCAAGTGGTTGTTTTTCAAGATGTTTTCCAATATATGGCCTCACGGAACCTCTCAGCTACCTATGAGAATTATCAGGTGGCTATTTCCTCCACCTGATTCTTCCCTCCCCTGAAGCCCCTGAAAGTCATTAACATCTGACTTCAGCTCCAACAGTCAACAGACTTGAGTACTTAACTTCTCTGAGCCTCAGTTTCCTCACCTGTGAAATGGGGACAGAGAGCAATACAGAGCCAGCATCCAGGGCTGTTGTATTATTTGTCACAAGTGTAAGATAACACCTGGCACTCAGTAAATAGCAATTTTACAACACTCGGTTATCATTAGCAGTTAAAAAAAAAAAAAATTCTAGGGCATTCCTTTAGAGCACATGTGTCAAACACAAGGCCCACGGGCCAAATCCATCCCGCCAGGCCTTGCAATGTGGCCCGCACCGCGCTGTCATCACTGCACTCCGCTGCGTTTCCATCACAATGACAGTTTATGACTGTTCAGTAAACCATTCGGCCCGCGATTTAGGCTGGATTTTAGATTTTGGCCCCTTCTCTGATTGAGTTCGACACCCCTACTTTAGAGAGAACTCTTCAAAAGATGAACAGTCTAAAAGGGACTCGCAGCAACGCTTCTCAGAGCACTGGAAAGAAACCACCGATGCACAGCCCTGGCACCCTCCCCGCCCGGGCGTCATTGAGAATGCCAGGCCAGCCCGCGCCTGCTGCTCCGGCCGCAGATCAGGGCACAGGGCAGGGCCCCGCCTCTGCTGACAGTGTGCCCCTTGTGCTGGGCTCCCATAAAGGCAGCATTATCAAAGGTCTCTCGCGTGGCAGCCTCCTTCGGCTCTAGCGACCAGCACCATTCATCTGCCAACAATGGGGTGAGCTCTTGCTCTGGGTAAATTGCCTTCCACTTCAACTGATGACTTTGTGTGGGCTTTCTTTGGTTTGTTTTCCAGGGGTCAGGATTCATGAACGCTCTTGTGCTTCTGCTGCAAAGGAAGGAGCGAGGGGGAAAAGATGCTGGGATGGGGAGGCCTGGGAAGGGATGAGCCACGTGATGAAACGCATTGCCGGGAATTACAGTTTCCATTTTAGTCCCACAACTGGATTGGCTGTGGAGCTGGGTCTGAACTGGGCCCGAAGACATCTTACTAAATGAAGTAATAAAAGACTCATTTTTCATGTTCCAGTCACAGCCGCAGTTTTAGGGTCTAATTCAGACAGAATGATGCCCATCACCCAATTTATTTTTCACCCGTTACTGGTTGTTTAGTCTTAGAATTTTATGGCGTGTGTGGAAAGAGAAGATCCCCCAACCAGTAGGTCTTACATCCATGTAACTAATTTCATACGCAATGCTCTAGTGTTCAATAGTCCTGTGCTTTCCTGGGCTGCACTTGAAAGAGCAGCACAACATTAAAAATCAAACAATGGCCCTGGCCAGCATAGCTCAATGGACTGAGCATCAACCCATGCACCAAGAGGTTTCGGGCTTGCTTGATCCCCAGTGGGGGATGCACAGGAGGCAGCCGATTGATGTTTCTCTCTCCCTCTCCCTTCTTCTCTCTTTAAAATCAATAAAAACATATTTTTAAAAAATCAAACATGTCACCTACTTGAGTAATAACATATTAGTATATAGTAGTTTTATTATAATAACTCATACTAAGGAAATGCAAACATATTGCCAATATCAAGAAAAACTACCCATGCATCAAAGAAGCCAAAAACACTACAGTAAAATCCGTGGCATGTTACTTACCGCTCCTTGGTACATCTCAATTTCCTTATCTCCAAAATATGGCATCTGCTTGAAGGGGTTGACTGAGATTAAGACGGAGCCTATATATGTCTGAATTTATATCCAGTTAAGGTCCATTGTTAATCTTCATAGCTACACTTTTTTTTTTAAAATTAAGTAAACAGATGTTATAAGAAATTCACGATTATTCAAGAAAGAGCTGGTGTATTTGTTTTCTAAAAGATTACAAATAAAGACAAAGGCAATTACCAGCTAGCTCAGATATTGTTCCTCTCCAGGAAGAGGAATGAACTTAATTACCAAGGTGCTACAAAAAGAAATATTCAATGAATTGGAGCTTATTCCTTTAAGACTGGTGACACATATCTAGAAAACAAAACAAAACAAAACAAAACAACAAAACAAAACAAAACAAAACAGAAATGATCAAGGAGTGAATCCTTTTATTTTTCCCTGGGACCTTTTATTTTTCCCTGGGACCTTTCTTACAATTAGGTATACTAAGAATGTATTCATTTACTCATTTAACAGACAGAGGGATCCAAGATGAACTCTTTAGAAGCTTAGGGAACTGAGTTGTATCTCTATTATTTGGAGCAGACAGTTACAAACCTGTACCGATCAGGCTGAGAGGAAGGAGGTGTTATTTCTGCACGGGGAACCCAGGAAGTCCTCTCAGCAGAAACCTGTTCATACTAAGTCTTAATTCTTTTACACGACACATTCTTACGTGCCTAAATACATCAAGTGTTATTGTAACGAAAAAATATTTTCATGTGTTCATTCAGCAACCAATTAGTTTGAACTGGGTGTCTACAACATGCCAGGCGCTGTTCTAGAAGCTGGGGAGACAGCAGTGAATAAAATACACACACTGGACAAAAGTCTCTGCCCTCACAGAGGAAAAAAATCATAAAGGGAAAACAATGAAAAAAATACTAAACCTCACACATACTCAGTTTCTCTTAATCAATGATTTCCCACTGTTCAGACATTTTGCAGTTGAAGATGTGAAGCTATGCAATGTCCTCCCCCAAAGAGAGAAATTTATAAATTTATGTGTTAGGATCCAGGTATCTAACAGAGCAATGCAGTAACTCTGGTCAGAAGGCCTCATTCCCCAAGTCCGGTTCTTCCTGACCTTGGGTAAGTCATATGTGTAAGCTGCAGTTAATGGATGATGGGGTAAATAAAATAGGACCTATTCATAGGGCTGTTATGAGAATTTGATGTTATAAAATGCTTAGCACCATGTCTGGCATAGTGGATGCAATTTCCTTAATTTATATACTTCAAGATGCATGTTTTATCACATATTAACACCTCTGATATGCAGCTTTGGTACTATTATTGAACACAAATAAGCCAACTGTAGGATATAAATCGTACAATATTTAAAAGTTAATATTTATACACAAAGGCAAGAATGCGGAATGACTCGGTTGCAATTTTGCTTTCTTTTTCACTGACCAGAAAGATCTCTGATTTGAAAGGGTTGAACTTGAAACAATAGTACAGAAGATGGGGTAGTTTTAAAAGCACATCCAGATGGAACCAGCGGGGGCAGTCCATGGCACTAAGAGAAAATGAGAAAGAGACAGCGAATTGGAACTGAAAATCGCCAGGGTCACAGAAGAAGGGGCATGAGCAAATGTAATTCCAAGTACCAATGCCAGATTGGATTAATGGCCTGTTTCTTTTTAGGCAAAAATTTAGAACAGATAATTTATTATTAAAATTATTACGCAAGTAAAAAATGTCTCTAATGCTATAAACTAAATGTTAATAACAACACTGATTAAACACATACATGTTTACATGGTACTAATATAAGCTCTTAATCACAACTCTGTTACTACTTTAATTCTATTTTTTACTATGAAGAAACTGAGGCATAGAGAAACTTTAAAACTTGCTCAAAGTCACAAGCTAGTGAGTAGCAAAGCTATGCTCCAAACCCAGGCAACCTGGTTCTAGAGCTTGCACTCCTTTTTTTTTTTGGAATACATTTAAAAAAATCAATTTCAGAGAGGAAGAGAGAGATAGAAACATCAGTGATGAGAATCATTGATCGCCTTCCCTCTGCACGACCCCCACATGAGATTGAGCCCGAAACCTCCCAAAACCTGGGCATGTGCCCTGATAGGGAATCGAACCGCAACCTCCTGGTTCACAGGTCAACACTCAACCATCAAGTCACGATAGCTGGGGTAGAGTTCACATACTTTTTATTTTTTTTATTTTTAATATATCTTATTGATTTTTTATAGAGAGGAAGGGAGAGAGATAAAGGGTTTGAAATATCAATGAGAGAGAAACATCGATCAGTTGCCTCCTGCACGCCCCCCCTCCCCCTCCACTGGGGATGTGCCCACAACCAAGGTACTGCCCTTGACTGGAATCAAACCTGGGACCTTTCAGTCCCCAGGCTGACGCTCTATCCACTGAGCCAAACTGGTTTGGGCTAGAGTTCACATTCTTAATCAACAAGCTATATATTACCTTTATAGGATTAGCAGGTATTGTCTCTATTATTGTTGCTGATACTATTATTGGTAGAGTTGCCAGATTTAGGAAATAAAATAAAAAATACTCAGGTAAATTTGAAGTTCAGATAAACAATAAATAATTTATGCATATATATCCCAATATATATGCTCCAAGCAATATTTGGGACATAGTTCTACTAAAATGGCACTTGTTGTTTATCTGAAATTCAAGTTTAATCAGGCATCCTGTATTTTACTGGTAACCCTAAATTGGCAGCACAAGGATCTCCTGCAGGACTGAGGGGTGTTTCGATTAGATTCTGTGATTCTTTGAGTACTAAAAACTCTATCTCTCTTCGTTGATATTTAAAAGTATATTTTTATTGATTTCAGAGAGGAAGGGAGAGGGAGAGAGAGATAGAAACATCAATGATGAGAGAGAATCATTGATTGGCTACCTCCTGCATGTCCCACACTGGGGATCAAGCCCACAACCCAGGCATGTGCCCTGACTGGGAATTGAACCATGAGCTCCTGGTTCATAGGTTGAAACTCAACCACTGAGCCATGTTGGCTGAGCCGTTGATTTTTCTTTTTTTTTTCTTTTCTGTATCTTTACCACATGGTAGGGACCAAATCAAAACTGCATAAATGAGGCTTGGCCCTCATTTGGATCCTCATAATGTAGTAATTTTTACAGTAAGCCAAATTTGACCATCCTCATTTCAAAAGAAGGGGATGTCGGGCTACATTTATCTCCAGGTGAAAACGAACTTGGGCAGGTATGACGTTTCCATGGAGAGGGGTGCTCCTTCCCTTAGTGTGAAGGGAATGCTGTGACTGCCGCCTGTCCTGGACAAACTGGTCACTGCATGCGAAGAAGAAAGAGTGACCCAAGGAAGCCCTGCTCAGCAATCCCTCCTGCCCACCCAGCCCTTGATTATCAAATACATGAGTTGGGTTGCATAAGAGCTCCTATAGGAGCCAACGTTTTTTACTGTGAATGATCTGCTATGTAAGAGATATAGTGAAGAGTCTTGACTCAGTCGGCTATATAAATTCTGATTAGGGCCTGGGAAGGAGACACTCAGAGAAAAAAACTTTCAGATAATTCTAGGCCAAGCCTGAATTAGTGACTGAGGTTGAAAGAGGGAAAATTGCAGCCATTCTCTAAATTTCCCATAAATAATGGGGCTGCCATATTATTTAGGAGGAGTCCAGAAAAATAAAGTTTAGTTTGAAAGGGAAGAATTGAGACAAGAGAATTTAACTTAGATTTAAAGGAAACACACCTATTTTAGTTATTTTAGGTGCGAGTTTGGCCTCCTTGTTTATCTCATAGCTCATCTTTTTTTCCACCTGGCTGGGTCTGCAGACACCTCAGGGCTTCCCTACTGAGTTGGGTCCCTTCTCTAGACCTCAAATACTGCCTCCCACTCCCTACTACATAATTCAGGTGTGCCTTTGGAAAAAGCTGTTTCTATCATTATCTCTACCACATAATCTTTGGCAATGAAAGTGTGGCCCAAGGTTAATTTTGAAAATGTATGGAGCTACAAAAACAAAACAAAACAAAAAAAACAAAAACAAACAAACAAAAAAACCAAAAAAAATCCTCATCAACCAACCAACCAAACAAACAAAAACTCAGAAATATTTAACATAAATGCCATCTTATTTAATAGATTTTGCAAGATGAAAGGACCCAACAGATCTAGGTTCTCAAATGCTTATTGGGGATCTTTGAGTGTACAGTGATCTGCAGCAAGAATGACGGAGAGAAACAATGCCCTGGAGTTTTCATAAAGCTCAGTTGATTCAATGTAAGACTTTCCTTTATTCTTAGATTATCTCCTTTCTATTTTGGGAGTGTTAAAATATTTTTTCTTTTATGAAATATGATGGTAGTGAAGCTTCTGTAAGTTTGTTTTTAATGGTCTTATTAGACAAAGATAAAATTTAACTTAAGAAAAAATGTCAATAACGAATGAATTCCCCCAAACTACCCAACCAACCTAAAGGATTTTCCTGCTTTTATCCCGAAGATGGAGGAGGGGGGAGATGAGGACGACTTGCCTGAAGACTTATGTGGAGAAGGTCAAGCTGGAACTCAAGCCCCTGGCTCCAGCCACCAGACCAAGCTCCCTCACTGCAGCGTGGTGCCCCCACCCACAACGCGCCTGACTGCCAAGGACCAAACCTCATTCAGAACAACTGCTCTGCCTTCAGCTCCGGTTGGCCTGGCACAAACATCTCAACCCCTAATTCAAGGGCCCAAGTTGCCAAACACACTTGAGTGTGGTCTTTGAGTGAAAACAAGTTTGGAGGAGGCTGGACCAAATGGGCAGGGGGAGCTTTCGCACAGAACCGCTGCCGTCAGCCAAGTGGCTACAGATGATGCCAGGCACAAGAGCAAGGACTGCAATGTTTTCCTCATAGATTTTCGAGGGGAATTGTAAGGAGTGTGGCAATATTCGGGAAAAATGGATGGTTAATCAAACCTTCTTTGTCTTAGGATAAATAGCTGAAAAATGTGTGTGTGTGTGTGTGTGTGTGTGTGTGTGTGTGTGTATTGGTAAACCATGTTAGCATTTTCTAAGTAGATATTTTTCTGATGTAGAAAAAGAAATGAGCATTCAGGCTGAATGCATTAATAACTGATGGCTCCAAATGCTGACCTTTAAAACAAGACAATGTGCTGGCATTAAATGTAGAAGAGGTCAAATGAGCAATTTTATAATTTCATGTGAAATCGAATCTCTTCTTGCCTTTACTATGCTTAGGAGAGAGGGGAAAACACTTTTCCTTAAAATGATGCTACTCTATCATAATAATAAAAAACAAACAATGCTACTCTATCATAATAATATTCCCTTAGCACTGAGCTGATAAAGAAGGCTTTTATCACTTATCAGAGGAAAAGATTTTCAGCTCCACCCTTGGCATTATTTTCATAAACATCCAACAGAGTCATCCAGCTTTCTCAAAGCCAAGAGCTGCCCTGTGCTATTGATAAAAGCACATTGATGCTGAGTTTCTCATTTATCGAGTGGGCTGATTTCTAAGACACGAAGTCATTAGTGGTCAACTAACTCATTTCCTTGGTAAAGTACCCGATTAGTCAGTCATTGATTCAAAGGCATTAATTCAGAGGCAAGTAATCAGCCCCCTCTGTGTGAGTCACTTCAAAATTCTGCTGTCTGAATATAAAAAGCAAGTCTTAATCGTCAACAAATTTTCAAGGAACACGTAATACGGTGCTCCATGCCAAGTATTGTGCAGGAAACTAAAACACACAATGCAAGAGGATCCCATTTTTGCTAGAATTAACAAGAAAGCACACAAATACGCATGCCTATATGCAGATAAGTTGAAAAATATAAAGCAAGAGGATAGAGAGGCACTAACCCTATATGGTGGGATTCTGGGTGATTTTAGTGTTCTCCTTTCTGCCGGACTCCATTTTACAAGTCATGTTAAATAAAAATGTGTTACTTTAAAGTAGGGGTGTCGAACTCAATCAGAGAAGGGGCCAAAATCTAAAATCCAGCCTAAATCGCGGGCCGAATGGTTTACTGAACAGTCATAAACTGTCATTGTGATGGAAACGCAGCGGAGTGCAGTGATGACAGCGCGGTGCGGGCCACATTGCAAGGCCTGGCGGGACGGATTTGGCCCGCGGGCCTTGTGTTTGACACATGTGCTTTAAAGGGCTTTTTTTCAAACGTTGTTTTTTAAAAGAAGACATACAAGACACAGTCCTTGTCCTCAACGAATCTTTGGTATGTTAGGATAAATGATCTTGGTGGGGGGAAATGAGTATGGCTGGGCTGCCTGCTGATAATCACTGGCACCACCTTTTTCTTCTCTTATCCAACTGATCAAAACCCATGTGTCTATGTCAATAATGTAAGAAGGTGAGCCTGTATTCTAAGAACATTCCAATAAGTAATTTGTTCAACTACATTCTGTAGGAGTTAGCCTTTTATGGGCTTGTCAATACACCGATCCTCCATTTAAAACAAACAAACAAACAAAAAACAAAAAAAAAAAAACACCCCAAAACTCCTATGGTAAATAAGAAACAGCACACAGCATTGGGAAGAACCAAGTGCCTCAGAATAATGTATCGCTCGATACATACCTGGTGCGCTGAACCCTCCTAATGACGAGACAGGCAGTCCCTGCACAAGTGTTGCTGACAGGGACGGGTGTTTCTTACCAACAGGCAAATGAGCAGTGTAATAAGCAGAAGCTATCGATGTGAAAACTATGCCCCCCGTGCTTTGGGGGTGTATTCCGAGGGTCGCAAAGACTCCACCTGTAATGGTCCTCCACAACGCTGTCCCTTCCAATTCGCCAACAGCAAAGATAAACTAGCCCACTACTAACAGATTCTACACCAATCTTCGCATGTCTGTGACCAATTCTGCAGTAAGTCCACTAAGAGAACTTTACCTAGTTGCACCAAACAAAACTCCTGAATCCTGTAAGAACTTAAGTATCATAGTTCAGTTCTCTGTTTATAACGTAGTCAACATGCATGTGAACCAAATTTCCATTCTGAATTTTTTAAAGGCCCATAAAAAATGGCATCTGGCAGCCCGGCTGGTGTAGCTCAG